GTGAAATGAATGAATGTGTGAAATGGGAATGTCACGTTGCCTTTTTCTCCAGCTGTTATGTCCTCAACAATCCTAACCCTCAGCCCTTATTCCATCTATTTTTAGCTTTTCCAGCACAGTTCTGTTGTCACTTGGTGGTAGCAATTGACGGTGAGAATGTCTAAATTATCCCCAATTCCTTTCTTATTTTGCATCGATTCCTCCAAATTCTACATGATACTTGATTCACCCACCACTTCCAATGGTGATGTGAGTTTCCCAGGTACAGTTCTGTACCTTATTTTCCAGCTGGATAATTTCTGCTGTTACACTTCATTCACTATCCGACCAACGGCACCAGGGCTTGTGGACATTACAGACTCTGTCCTTGATCGGACGTCTCTCTCTTTTGAAGGCCCTGTCTCCTGCCCTGAAAACTGGCACCATGCTGCCCCACCTGCCATCTGTAGGTGTGAAAGTGCACCCCTGTCCTCACACCACAGAGGGGGTCGTGTGCCCCTGCCTCCAACGCTCCGCAGATTCCTCTGAAAACCTAACCACGGATGTAGAGTGACAGGGGCCAGAGGACCCACCCCCATTCAGGAAAGCCTTACAGTTACAGTTTCACGTCAAACTCTTATGCTGTAATAATATATGGAATAAGTAAGTTCTTTCTTCCCCACAATTAATACAAATGAAAAATGATTACACAATGAAATGCTTTGTACTCAGTGTTCACAGGCGATCACCATCTCAACATGAATAGTAAAGCTTGATATATTATCTCGTGTTCGTGTAGTTGTTTTGTCTGAAAAACAGTTGGTTTAAAATCATTCCTCAAAGTCACGTTCAGTTTCCTTTTCTGCCAGAGGTCAAGACTTTAAGGAAATTATTTACCGCAAGTAACATATCAAGAGGGACGAGTCCAAAGTTAAAGTGAAATTCTAGGTAACTGCCTTGCAACGCGGCCGTCAGTGAGTTGCAATGCTTATCTTCCCCTCTGGAGATCTGAATCTTGTCTGGCTGTTCTGACATCATGCTGGGCTAAGAGCTGAGGTCTCACAAGCTGTCTCAGTGCTCATTTGCCACTGAAGCTGTGTGTGTGTGTGTGTGTGTGTGTGTGTGTGTGTGTTTCCTAATGTGTGCTTCAGGCAGGTCCAGGCAAATCAAAAGTCTCTATTTTCATCAGTTAAAAACAATAGCCGAGGTTGGAGTGGAAGAGGGATGAGTAGGCAGAGTGTAGAGGATTTCAGCATTTAGCGAAAATACTCTATGACTCGCTGATGGTGGATACATGTTCGAACGCACAGAACGCTCAGCACCGAGAGTGAAGCCTAACGCAGGCCGTGCACTCTTGGTGACGTTGCCGTGTCGACGTAGGTTCGTAAGTTGTAATAAAGGTCCCACTCAGCGGGGGCACGTTGATCATCGGGGAGACTGTGCATCTGTGGGACGGGGCGTCTAGGAGAAATCTCTGTACTTTCCTCTCAATTTTGCTATGAACCTAAGACTACCCTACAAAAATAAATTCTTTAAAAATGAAAATATAAAATAACCCCCAGCTATGAGCACTTTTGACTTCATAGCAAAGCAGTGGCAGACAGCTAAATCCCTCCTTAGAGTCTCATAGAAGATAGGGTGGCCCCCAACAGTATGGAGGAAGGACAGAGACCACAAAAGGATTTTATGAAGTTTCCCTTCTAACAGACGAATGGAGCTTAAGAACATTCAGTTCACGGACTGAACTGTTAGCTTGTCCTGGTTTAACAGAGTCAACCTATAAATATCCCCCTTAATGCCACTTCCCTTTTCTGTTTTCACTGATTGCCCTTTTTTACCAATCTCTGTCCCTTTGCTCATGTACTCACCCAAGGCAATGTGAGAGCATAACTGTGCTGATACATTATCTGATGAAAATGCACACTTGATTTGCACCATAAAATGTGAATGAACATGAAGAAGACGATTGGATTGGTGCTGATTTCTGATTTTTCAGGAAGATGACATTCATCATTATTCATGATGTGGAACCTACATGTTCCAACCTGACAGTATCAGGCCAATGAAATATGCATCCAAGACATAGTAGGAAACCTGAAAAAAAATTAAAAACACACTGTGTCAATCCTGGTCCTGAAAAGATGGATATTTCTGCATTAAGAAATGTGTATGTGTCAAGGACTTGAAGTTATGCTTATCCAGAAAGATACCCATAATTAGCCATTTATTAAAAACAAAGTAAAATAAAGTTCTCTGTCTAGGGTAAGATTTTATAATTTTTAAAAGGTTTTTATTTTTCTCAGTTACACTTGACCAAAACTTCAAGATTGAAGTATACAAATGTAAAGCTTTAAAAGAAAACAGTTGCCCATTGCCTATTTCGGAGGTAACTATATTTAACTTATACATTTCTACTTTATTCTCTTATTTACACTTGAGATGCTTGTAATGTTATTTTTTATTTGATGCTAGACATTATCTATTTCACGCTTATGATAGAATGTGAGTATTAGCCATTGCATTCCACTCTCCCATGTATTTCACTAACACACTCCCAGTGCACTTACATAATAATGATTATATAAATATTAAATGTCATTTGGAAACAAGCCAAGTTCATAAATGCATACTAAGCTAAAAACTAAAGAAAAAAATGGGGACTTTGCATGGGATTGCCTTGAATATGGAAAAGCAGGAGAGAAATGATTTCCTCACAGTGTTATGTCTGGGGATCCATGACATAGCATCTCCCTCATTTATTTAACAATGTTGTATTTGTTTGTTGAAATTAAATCAAAACCAGTTGATCTTTGTGTATTACTTTGTATATATGCTATTCCATACTAAACTCACTTAATAACTCACCTGGTAATGTCTCACGTAATAGTGTCCATAGGCTCTTAAGGATTTTCTGTGTTCAAAATCACGTTACCTCTGAATAATGTCAGTTTCATTTCTTCTTTCAATTTTTATGATTTTTATTAGCTCTTTTCTTGCCTTATTTCAGTAAGATCTGAAGAAAAATTAAGTAGGAATGAAATTGGTGGACATTCTTGCCTCATTTCTGATCTCAAAGAGAAATGTTTCAATAATTCATAGTTAATGCTCTGATGCTTCTCATACATTTTTGTGTATACTCTATAATATGAAGGATACTCCTTTGTATACTCAGTTTTCTATGAGCTTTTATCAAATGAATGTAATCAAATGCTTCTTTGTATCTATTAAAATGATTATATAATTTTCTTCATTTTTAAAATTTTCTACTTTTAACATGATGAAATATATTGTTTTCATGTGTGTGTCTGTATCTTCTCTGTTGCTCAGACTGGGCTAATTTTATTGTTCTGTCCTCAAGTTTCCTGATTCTGTCTTCTGTCACTCTATCACCAGGCTAATCCAGCAGGGTTATTTATGTTACTGTATTTTTTAGTTCTATAATTTCATTTCCTTTTTATAATTTGTATTTCTTTCCTGAGATATTGTGATTTTTCATTTGGTTCAAGATAATTTTTAATTTCTTGCTGAAATATTTTTAAGGTGGTTTTAAAACCCTTGCCAGATGATTCCGGTGTGTAATTCGTCTAGTTTGTGTTACTTGGTTATCTTTCCTCATTCACATTAGGCTTTTCCTGGCTCTTAGTGTGACATATTATTTTAATCCTGGCCATTTTGCTTATTTGTTAAGAGTCTCTGGTTCTTATTTACTTATTTTTCTTTTTAGCAAGAAGTCAACTGTTTAGCACACAGGTCCTCGCCTAATTCTGTGGGCTGTGGTTCCACTGACAATATGACATTTAGAACCATTTTGGTGCTAGTTGGGTCTGATTGATTCATCTGCGTCATCAGGCTCCCCCCACCCTGCCCGCCACCCCGTTCCCTGATGGTGCTAGAGGAGGGGAAGGGGCTTCCCCAGGTCGGGTCCCTGCTGCCACTAAGTGGATAAAGGGGTGCTTCACCTAGCAGTGGGTGGACCACCCCTCTGTTGGGAAAGATCTGTGCTCTTCCTCCAAGCCTGGGAGGCCTAATCGGTTTTTTTTCTCTCTACCTTTCAGAGTTCTACTTGGTTGTGTCTGGCACTTTTTTCAGTGTTTTAGTTGTACTTGTTTGGGAGAGAGAACTTTATGCCATCTTGTAGGGAGCAGAAGTCATTCTAAACCATGTTGATAGTCAATCCTTTAATGACTGTATGGCGAGCATTTTTCTATGTGTTTAATAAATTATGTCCCCATGTTTATTAATTGCTTCTTCACTAATTATTCTTAATTCTTCTCTTAGTTTATGTGAGTTTTTAAATTATATATATACTTATATATTTTCCAGGTATGTTTGCTATAAATAATCCTCAGCTTTCTGAACTTCTTTTAATATTGCTTACATTTGTTGTGGTATAATATTTTGAGAAATTATCATTATTTAACTGGTAGAAATAGACCTAGTAATTCTATAATTTAGAGAGTTGAGAGTTATTGATAATAGCTGTCTCCATCATTATTCTAAATTTTCAGGGAAAGGAAAAGAAAATGTACAATGATATAGTGGGAAAATAATAACCATTTCGTTGTTGCAAAAGTGTTTGAGTGAATTGGAACAACTTTAATTAGAATTAGCACACTGGTCAAATCTGCAGGGTAATTTATTCATAGATCTCCAAATAGTGCATCATGGGTGCTCAATAAATATTTAGTAAATTAATAAATACAGTGGTTCGAGCACTACATCTTTCTGTAGACCTAACATAGACCATAAACTCACGAGAGCCTTGATAAATGTGAATGGAAGATGATGACATCGTGAGTGAACAGGGACCGCAGGATGATGGGAAGAGGAAGGGTGTGGATGGCTGCGTTCCTTCAGTGTTAGATCTTTCATCCCCTCCATCTGCCATAAAATGTTTCTGACCACTAGGGAAAACTGTGAGACGTGGAAAAGACAACCCATTGTTTCAAGTGTTTTCAATCGTACAAAAGTTTTTGCCAGCGTACTGATAATGGTACCATTTTTATTATGTTTTATGTTAGGTTCAGGTTCTTCGGAATGCTGGAGAAGAAGTGACCCTGACGGTCTCATTTTTTAAAAGAGCACCTGCTTTCCTCAAACTCCCACTGAACGAAGATTGTGCATGTAAGCATTTATGAATAATAGGTAATATGCTCCCGTCACATTTACTTTCTAAGCCATTATTTCCTGGCAGTAATTTATTTTTAAAGTTGGGATTCCTGCCTGAATGCAAACAGTTTTCTTTAATATCACAAAGCATTCAATTAACCCTTCTCCAAAGGGAACAGCTGTTGTCTGTGTTTCAGAATGTATTCACATTTAGTTATTTTCCAACCTATAACTGGGGAAATATTATTTACTTTAAATGTCATATCAAACATATACATTTTGTATCTCTATTAAAATTTCATTCATATTGTTTGAGGAATATATATTCTCTAAGTAGAAAATAATATTCTCTTATTTGGCTACTGAACTTACTAAATAAGCATTTACACTTCATTTGTCCTGATGAGAACAGGGAGATTGCAGGAAGCCCCAGTCTATGTGGAAATGTAATAATTTTCATAAGAACTACTTAAAACTTTCTGTATCTATTTTCATATTATGAAATAAAATGCATATTATAGTTTTTGCTAAAAGCAAAGAAGAATTATTTTTAACTGAGGCATAGTTTACATGAACTGAAATGCAAAGATCCTCAATGCTCAGTGGGATCAGCTCTGACAGACGCTCACATTTGCTTAAGCCACATCCCTTTCGATCACAGAACGGTTCTGCTGTGCCTCTTCCAGTAAATAACATTCCCAGAAACAGCTACTGCCTTAATTTCTTGTCATCAAGTATTAATGCAATCGAACTGTATTTATTCTTTTACGTCTGCTTCTTTCCTTATGAACCGTCTCGTGTTAACATATTTCAGGAGGTTATTTATTTACATTGCTGTACAGTATTCTACCGTATGAGTGTAGTAGAGTTTGGTAATGCATTCTCCTGCTGGTAGACAGCAGAGCTGTTTCCGGTATTTGGCTATTGTAAATAAAGCTGTTATAAACATTCTCGTACAAGGCTTCTGGAAGTCATAGTATTTTATGTCACTACTATAAGTACCTAGGAGTGGAATTGCTGAGTCACAAGACGGATGTGTAATGAACTTGCTAACAAACTGCCAAATACATTTCTAAGGTGGGCGTGTGTTTACAACCCCCCACTGTCCACTCCAGTGGCGAATGAGAGAGGTCTGGCTGCTCTCCATTAATTCCAATATTTGATGGTCAAAAATTTCTTTAGCTATTCTCTTGAGTGTGTAGTGGTACCGAATTGTAGTTTTAATTTGCATTTCCCTGAAGGCTAATGATGATTAGCTCCTGTGCTATTTGCATATTTTATTATCTATTTGCATATCTTATTTTGTAATGTGTCTGCTCACGTCTTTTCTCCATTTTTCTGTTGGTATGCCTTTATATTATCACACTGAAGGAGTCAATAAGCCTGTTTATAGTAAGCTTTTTGTTAGCTATATGTGTTACAAACATTCTGTGCACGACTGTCTTTTTTACCTAAACGTGTGTCAAGTTTGCACAACTTTTTGATTTTGATAAGATCTAATTTACCATTTTGTTGTTGTTTTCGTTGTATATGCTTTTGGTTTTCTGCATCTTTTCTAAGAAATATTTGCCTACCACAAGGTTGCAAGGATATCTGCCTACACTTTTGCAAGCAGCTTTACAGCATTGATTTTTATGTTTAAGTTTATAATCTATCTTATATTAGTAACGTTTTGGTTCCGAGGTAGGAATCAAGAATGAAGGAATCACTATCTTATTTCCACTAATGTATGCATCTGTTCTTTCACCAAAACCACACTGTTGATTATTGCAGCTTTATAATACTCTAGAAAGTCACCTAGGATAGGCTCTTCAACTTTGTGATACTTCAAGATCATTTGGCTATTCTCGATTCTTGGCATTACTGCATCCATTTTAAAATAGCACATCAATTTCTATTTAAAAAACTATTATGATTTGGAATGTGGCTGAATTTATAGACAATTAATATAATTAACACCTTAACAATTTTAAACCTTTCATTCCACAAACATATCTTTCCATTTATTTATATTTTAATTTTTCTCATCAATATTGTAATGTTTCCAGGGGGAAAATATTGCATATCTTACATTAAATTTATTTTAAGCATTTTATGTTTTTGTTTTATTGTAAATAATATTTTAAAGATTTAATTTTCTAATTATCTGTTGCTAACACATAGAAACAATAACACATCACATTTTTATATATCAACATTCTGCAGCATAGTTTAATTTTCTTATTAACCAGTAAGATTTTTGTACTTTCTCTAAATTTTTCTACATATAAAGTTATGTCATCTGCAAATAATGTTTTGCTTGTTTCTTTCCAAGCTGTATTTCTTTTAATTCCTTTCTTTGCGGGGGAGAGGCAGGTCATCTATTGCAACAGCTCGGGCCTCTTGTAAAATGCTGAGTGAAGTGCTGAGTGCAGACGTCCTTCTCCTGCTCAGGATCTTAGTGGGAAATCTTCCAGTTTTTTACCATTAAGTGTGGCATCAGCTGTGGGTGTTCATAGGTGCCCTTTATTAGAATAGAATAGAGGTGCCCTTATATTACTGGGTTCCTGAGGATTTTTCTTTTCCCTTCTTTTTTTTAATAGAAGTTAATGTTGAGTTGTGTCAAATATTTTTCCATCCATTGAGATATTACATTTTTTCTTTTTTTTTTATTCTGTTGATAGGGTGACTTTTTAAAAATTGATTTTGAATGCCAAATAAAGCTTGCTGCATTCCTAGGATAAACATCATGGTCATGGCCTACTTTTTTATGTATATTACATGTTTTAATTTGCTAATGTATTGCTATTTTTTTTTAAATCTTTGTGCAGTAAAGATTTCCAGATGTACTTTTCTTTTCCTGTAGTGTTTTAATGGGATTTTGGTACCAGGGTTATTATGTCTTTGTATAAGTTGTGAAGTTGTAACTCCTATTTCCAGAGAGAAATTGTTTAACAGAGATCATATCTCTTTCTTAAATGATGGAATAAATTCACCAGAGAAGCAATCTGATCCTAGAATTATCATTTTTGTTTTGTATGAATTAATTTCTTAAATGGATATAGGACTTTTTTGATATTCTCTTTTCTTCTTTTGTAAATTTGGGTTAGATTTTTTTCAATATTTTTGTTCATTTCAACTAAGTTGTCAATCTTTGCATGAAGTTATTCATCATAGCTTTTCATTATCCTTTTAATATCTGTTGATTTGCAGTAATGCCTCCTCCTTCACTCCTGATACTTATAATTTATATTTTCTCTCTTTTACTAGATCGTTTTTGCTATGGGTTTTATTAATCGTTCCAAAAACCCATTTTTGTCTTGGTTAGTTCTGTGTTATTTTCAGTGTGCTGTTTCATTGCTTTTCACTTTTATTTTTATTATTTTCTGTCTTCTGTTTACTTTGTTTGCTCTTCCACTTCTAACATCTTAAGACACAAGCATAGATCACTGAGTTTACATCTACCTTCTTTTTGTGCTACAGTTAAGTCTTTAAATTCCAAAGGACTGCTGTCGATGCATTACAGAATTTGATATGCTATGTTTTCATTTTATTCAGTTCAAAATGCATATGAGTTTTAAAGTAATATGTGTGTCCATTAAAAATATTGTCTCATAAGAGAGAAATGCAGAGAAAACATCAAAAGAAAAAATAGCAAATACAAAGTATGAACTTCTTAAGATTTAAAGAGTGTGAAAACTATATCTAGGCTAGTATAGCAAAAAAGCCTGTTTCCCTTCTTAGCACCAGGAAAACTATAGAATTTCAGGGTCATAAAAGAGGAGAGCAGCGTCATCTTTTGGGTTTTTTTGAGCACGTCGGTTAATACATTAGGAGCATAGCCTGTAATGATGTTTGCATTTAAGCGTTGTATGTCAAATAAAAATTGGGAATCAATTACATTAATAGATCATATTTATCTGCATTAACAACTCCAAAAATATAATGTTTACAGAAAAAGCAATGAATCAGAAATCAAGAAATATGTATTTTAATCCTGACTGAAACAATTACTAAATTTTAAAATCTTAGAAAAATCACAAATCTTTAAGACATGTATTACTCATCTTTATTTTTTTTTATACAGCAGGTTTTTATTAGTTATTTTATACATATTAAACACTCATGTTTAAAAAATAGACATTGGTAGGTTTCTCATGAGGATCTAATACGAAGTGTTTTAGTTGCAAATTCACAAAATTAAATAGTGTCAGTGAGGGTGCTTCCAATTACAGTGTATGCCAAGAACAGTTGTAAAGACAGAGCACTTACAAACTTTTTTTGCATCATAGAGTGTTATGGTAAATAAACATGGGATTTGCTAGTAGATAAGACATGATATTAAATAGAATTTTGTAGCCAAACAAAATCTTGCACCATTCTAAGTATGATTCATAAGAATAGGACACTTTGGGTAATAAAATGAAATAGTATTTTTTATATGGTTGCATATTTCCCTTAATAAAACCTTAATATTTATGAAATCAAAGATAAATATTTAGACGTAGAGAATGGACTTGAGGACACGGGGTGGGGGAGGGGTAAGCTGGGACGAAGTGAGAGAATGGCATGGACATAGATACACTACCAAACGAAAAACAGATGGCTAGTGGGAAGCAGCCGCATAGCACAGGGAGATCAGCTCGGTGCTTTGTGACCACCTAGAGGGGTGGGATAGGGAGGGTGGGAGGGAGGGAGACACAAGAGGGAGGGGATATGGGGATATATGTATACGTATAGCTGATTCACTTTGTTATAAAGCAGAAACTAACACGCCATTGTAAAGCAATTATACTCCAATAAAGATGTTAAAAAAAATAAAAAGAAAAGATAAATATTTGCAGGTCTCTTTTGGGGCCACTTTAGGTTTTAATTTTAATTTTTGTTTACTTGCAAAACTCTGGCTTTGATATAAGTGAAATACAGATTTATTTTACTACCTGGCTTACCTGATACCACTGAGTGTACTGAAGTACGCAGTGTAGAAGGTGTCCGTGTAGGACAAGTGGGCTTCTAACCAACGATGCTGTGACTCTTCCCGCAGGTGCACCGAGTGACCAGAGCAGTGGCACCTCCTCTCCCCTCTGCGACAGTGGCTTACACCTCAACTATCATCCCAACAACACAGTAAGAGGCCCAGGGCACAGTCCCCATGAATGAGGAGGGCACCCAAGAAAAATATATGTAGTTAGAGTTTGCACAAGCTGGTCTAGGACCCGGTTTCTCTGATGTAGTTGAAATCCTCGGCTGTTTTATTTTTTGAGAATTATGATAATTCAGGGAGGAGAAAAATAAGTAGGTCTGTTATTTTTTCCCCTCTCAGGTCTGTGTTAAGCCCTTTGTAAGCTCTAGAGATGACTTGGAGAGGTCACGTGTAAAATCATGCAGTCATTTTATAACATTGCATATTATATGTAATTTCATGTTCTAAATAGTTTGACATAATTTTATCATTTTTCTTTTGAAATTATTTAGCTAAAAGTAGCTATATAATTTGCCATATATTAGGATTGCTTAGCAATCTTCATGCACACCAGGGAATCAATATAAAGGGAGAAAATCTAACCTACACATTGTATAAAGTGTGAGGAATATTAAACTACACATGTATTTAATAATTGATACATTTGGCATGTTTGTTTTATAAAGTGTCCATTATTATTTTCCACCTGTACTTTGGAGTAAACAGGTTTTTTTTTCTTTTATAAATATTTTGAAACTCCTTGTATTTCACCCTTCAAAAGATGTACACATTCTAAAGACAAAACGATTCCCTCTGGTTAAATGTGAGACTAACAATTTCCCCTGTGCTCACAAACATGAAGAGAAGCGGAGCTCACTTTATGTAGAATTTTATCTTTCTGTTCCATGCATTAGGATGTATGTGATGTGGAGCTTCCTCTGACTTGTGTGGTTCACTGTGCATTGGAAACTCTTGAGCTCACTGTGGCACTTTACTCCAGAGTCCTCCTGTGGACATCTGCAGGTCTCCGTGGCCCTCACCGTGCAGCACTGCACAGCAGTGATCTCAGCTGAGTCCCACGGGCCTCCACATCCTTTTCATCTGTTTGTTGTTTTGCTCTGAAAGAGGAACCCTTGGCAACATCACAGGTTATCTCTACAAGTATAAACCAGCCCCATCTGGGTGTACTTCACTGCCCTTCTCTTTTACTTTTGTTACCAGAGAAATAACTGTCACACGATAGTGAATACTTAAAATGCGGGATCTTCAGAAGATGGCAAGATCTGAGTGCCGTAATTTCCTGTTGAGAGAATGAAAATACACGTCCTGTGCTCCCATCAGCTCCCTCCTCAAGGCTCTTACAACCTCCCACCCAGTCTTTGCCTCTTGCTTCAGTAATTGCTCTGCTCACCTCCGTCCCTTCCAGTGGAGACACTCTTGAGGCCTTTGATGCCTTTCCAGTCCTTTGTGCTGGGCGGTGCCCTGAGCCCCGCTGCTGTGAGTGTCGCTGCCCCTCTTACAGGAGTCTCTGCCTGGAATCGGTATGGCTGCAGCCGAGGACGCAGAGATGGGGCACAGAGGCAGCCTCCCCGGCCTTGGCAGGTGACACGGTGGCCACCCGCCCTCAGGAGCCCACATATAGCCAGGTGTTCCCTCCTCATCCACTTTCTCCTGAGAGCTTTCCCCACCCATGTCACTCACACAAGAGTCCCCATCTCAGCTCTGCCATTTACTGCGGAGTGGGGACCAAGGTGCCTAGGAATATTTTTATTCTAGTCCTTGCCCCTGTACCCTTGGACTCCTATGTAATAATAAGTGGACAGGGAGGTCTGTGGGTAGGAGCCATTCTGGTCCGTTTTGAACTCATTCCACTGATGTACACAACAGCATCTACAGACTTGGTTACGTGACCTGTGCCTCTATGTGGTTGCTCGCTATAATGTCTTCCTTTACAAAGGCATAGTGAGAGTAAGGAAACTGCTCAGCAGTTCTGTAACATGGCTGTTCCAAACAAATCCAGCTGTAAACTTTTCAAAAAACCTGTCATCATAAATTGTTCTTACTGAGTCGTGTCGTTCCGTTTTCAGGAGGCATATTTTATTTCCATTTTTAGCATTAGGATTGAACATTATTTGACATTGCTAAAGATCTTTAAGTGTAAGGAAATTAATGGCACTTATGATGTTTTAGACGACAAGAATCAAGACATATATAAATCAAAGTGTAATAAAAATAAAGACAGTAATTGCATTTACGTTAATTGGATATGTGCTGAGAACCTGCTCTGAGAAAACCCTCTTCAAGGTGCCGTGGGAAGAAGTCCATTATGGCTCCTGGCCCCAAAGTTTAAAATCCAGATCTGTAAACGTAACCGTAACGTAAGCAGGAAAATTGCAATGGACGTTAGCCTTCTAATATCAGAGAAAAGGGCTGCTAGAGGCTTTGAACATCTGACTTACAGAAATCAACAAAAATGGGGGACTTCAGACCAAACGTGAGCCCGCCTGGGAATCAGACCCGAGTGGGTCACGCAGGGTCGGCATCTGGTTGAGGGGTGGAGGACGTGTCCACTCAGAGGTTCATGAAATGAGGGGCAGTCGGAGCGTGTCTCCTCGTGACCCATCACTAAATAACGAGGCACCTGGGCCCCGGGAGGCGCGCTCCACAGAGAGTGTGCAGATCGCAGAGACGGGGTCCGCAAGAGAAGCACCCGGTCCTCTGCTGTGTCTGCGTCCTCACCTCTATCCAGGCCCAGGGACTCTGTTTTTAGTTCCTGTGCCTGAATTATTCTCTGAAGGAAATTTTGCGTAAGCAGGTGCCATTTGAGTTCCCTCAAACTTTCTGTGTATATTTTAAGGCAGCATTTTACACATATGAGAAAATAACACCTTGTAATGTATATATTAACATCACTCCACTTTCTTACATAAAAACGTAGTCTAGTCCTTCTAAGGGCCTGAGATCACCAATTTTAGCGTATACAAGGTTCTCCCGGTTTGCTAGCCAAAGTGAAGAAAGAATTTGCTTGTGCTCACCAGGAGACTTAAATTCAGACACCAGCTACCAGATTCTGAGGAACGTTTTTCTTAACGATAAACCTTTAATGATGCTTTTAAGGCAAATCCTTAATGAAAGTTGGATCAGCGCTCTGCCCTGTATGCTCTTCTGTTTTGGCCTGATAATTGCTCTTGAGGTTATCGTACGGCAATATACCTTGAATGTGTTACATTTTGAGAAGAGAGTTTATTTTAAAGTAAAGGCTCTGTAAATGCTGCTTTTCCCGTTCACACTATTAATATTATAGGAAACAACATTCTTGACACTGAAGAATAAAGCTCTTGAAAAGTAGTTACGGGCTTTAAAGCCATAAAAATTCTTGTGTTTTTAGATCATTTTATATACAATTAAAAATAACTCCGAGACTGCTGTTACACAAGAAGACTAGAAAGCAAATTTATATTCTGCTATTGGAATTAAAATAAATAATAAGGATAAATAATTTCCAAAAGATACCAGCTATTCCACTGTAAATAACAGATCTGTGAAATGAAATACATTAACCCTGATTAGTTCAGTAGCTGAAGTGAGACTTATCTCGTATTTTTTGTAAGAAAGAAACATGAAAGAAAGTGACATGCTTACAACTTCGGTACATAAGGACACCCAGTCGGGGTGCTGCGTCAGGACATGCAAAGACCACATGTGCTTTCACATCTGCTGGTCCATGAAGGCTATGAAATGTGATTTGTAAAACTCCTCATCCTCACCTATTGCTGGTTGTCATTCTCCATATTCCATTACCTGTGTCTTTTATGTTCTTTGACATTTTCTATCTGTTCAGGGAACAATGAAGTGAGATGATCTCTTTGTGCTTTTCATGAACGACAGGAAATAAATAATCTGCCTAAAGTTACGTTGCAAAACTGTGAAAATAATCAAGGCAGACGTCTGAGCCGTTCTTTCCATGGTTTCAGCTCTGACTATGGAAGTTAAATGCTGTGCTGTGGTGTCACAGAGACGTAGGTCGGAGTGAATCCTGGCCCTGTTGCTGGCCGGCTGGGGGCCTCGTGTAGACGCCTGACTGTGCAACCTGCCAGGCGTGGGCCTCGAGCACGGGGCCCGGGAGCAGGTTTCAGCCGCGCGCTGCTGTGAGCTTAGTGACGGGGCTGCTCGGTCAGGTCAGGCCTGGCCACAGAAACCGCACCCATTTACCCCAGGGTGTCACACAGGATTGTGGTTTCAAGTGCCCTCATGCAGAAAAGACGAGAAGCAATAATGTACTGCTTCTAGAAACCTTAGGTTTTCCTTTGGTGACAGCCTTGTCTCTGGAGGTGGGTGCGCTGTGGCACAGAAGAGCCACATAACTTGCCCCGGCACTCATCGGGTGGGAAATCGGGACTTTGAACCCAGATGGTCTAATTCTTATGGGGAGCCTCAGCCTTCACACGCTGCCCGTCTGTGACATCTGACGTGAGGGCCAGGAGAGAGGAAGCGATTAATGGGAACCTGGGCCTGTGCCTTTCAGTCACCACAGAAGAAGCACTGAAAGCAGCCGTCTTGCGCCAAAGGCTGTGTGTCCCGGAGACCTGTCACCAGTGGAGCCCCTCGCTCTTGTCAGCCAGGCCTCCTTGCCGGGTGCTCTAAAATGCTCGAAGGATTTCGTAGACTTTCATTGGCACAATGGTTGACAATTAACCTAATGCCAGAGAACTCTCAACCTCGAGTGAAAATAATGGAAGTTTTCCCCTCCCCCCAAATAAGCAATTTTGAAGAAGTTAATAACTGAAAGAAAAGTTAATAATATCTAGACTCACAGAGGTTCAACATTTAGACTAAAATAGAATCTCCTTCTAGCACCATCACTCAGAAATTATAGAATCTATAGCCTAGAGAGAAACCCGTCCGTGTCAGCAGTTCTCTGATCAGGTGGCGGCTTGGCTCGTACAGCCCAGGCCGACTGCATGGCAACGTCATTCCTGTGCTGGGGCCAGGAAGAATCCTAACAGGGAAGCTGATCCAATGAAAGAGACATGGATCAACATCTGCTGAAAAACTCAAATGTTATTCAAAGACGTGTCTTTTGTATACATAAGGAAAAAAACCTAAGCTTTTTATGAAACTTAAAATATATGTAATTTTAAACCAGTAGTAGTTGTCTTAACATTAAAACAATATAAGAAAATACAGACATTTTATTGACATAAACATGAGATTGAAACAATGGACAAAGATTTCCTGAGTGTTTGAGGGCTGTTTTATGGGAATATTCATTCTCACAAATGCTTTTAAGTGAGGGATGACTCGCAAGCCCTATAACAACGTTTAGTGCTTAGCAGATAGAAAATATTTGCTAATTGAACTTACTGGATTTTTGTCACCTCCTAGTTCACTGTAATTACAGTTCTGCCCCATCTTTCTCATTCTTGAATGAATTCAGTCGTCGCTACTTTATTTCTTCTTCCTTCTCCTCTGCCCATTTTTCATGTTTTCACTACAATTCTTAATCTCAGTGATTCCCTCCTCACTTTCTTATAGAATTCCATTAACAGCGAAATTAACAAATACACCTTTATTGCCAGCGAACAGGGATTTCCTGTGGTTTTCTATAAATGTCTTCTGATTGTCTAAGGGTAAAATACCCCTCAGATGACAAGGGTGTGACATCAACACCGAAAACACAACAGCACTGCTGAACGTTTGTTTTCTTTTCAGGACACGCTGTCCTGCTCTTCGTGGCCCGCGTCCCCGGGCCTGAGGTGGGAAAAGCGGTGGTGTGACCTCAGGCTGATCCCTCTGCTGCATTCCCGGTTCTCCCAGTACGTGCCCGGGACAGACCTGAGTCGGTGAGTTCATGTCAGCGGCCTCCGCTCGTCTGTTGATTGCAATTGAGACCTGGAGTGACATGACATGCCTTACGGGTCTTACCTTCAGGTTTCTAGAAGTAGGAAGACCCGCAGAAGAATAGCGTAATGTAGAAAAACGCACCTCACTGCAGGTGCTCGAGGCGTAGGTTCGGCTCAGTTCTCAGCCCTGCTGACCGAGCCCTGGTGACGGTCAGGTACCAGCTCCATCACCCCGTTGCCTCTGAGTCGGGGGTTAGCTCAGTGGCTGGCTCGGCTCTGCTGCCACCAGGGAGGGTGGGCGGCAGGGGCCAGCGGCCACCGCCTTATCGCTGCCGGGCAGCGGTGAATGCTCCGCTCTCCACGGAGCTCGGCTGACGGAGGGCAGCGGAGGGAGCGGGGGCTGAGGGCAGTCGGCCGGCTCCCCCCACCTCACCCCCCCACCTCACCCCCCCACCTCACCCCACCACCTCACCCCACCTGGGGGATGACGGGTGGGTTGGAGCCTGAGGTCCTGCTGGGCCAGCGCGGTCAGCATGGGAAGGGGGCAGAGGGCTGAGCAGCTCCATCTCGGGCCGCCTCACTCAGTCTAACGGCTGCAGGCGGGTAGGGAGCCTCAGCTCTCCGCTGGACCTCACGCTACCGGGACGGGGCGGGGGCTCGGAGCGCTGCTTGGTTCACGCGGGTGGGGATGGGCAGGGCAGCTTGCCGCTCGACGCCTTGAACACCAGCAGGCGGGGACGGGAGGACAGGGGCAAGACCAGCTGCTGCTCTGCCTGCTGGAACCCTGGGGGGAAGGGTGGCGGTGCCACTGACGTTGGGCCAGATTAGGGCAGGCCGCCAAAAAGGTGGAATGCTTCTAGCCCGCTGCTTTGCTAGCCTTCGCACTACGAGGACAGACGCTCCTGGAAGCACTTTCTTGTCTTGCTCTTGGTCATCCTGGATGGAGACCCTGGAGGACCCTGCCTAGGATACACGGGAGGCGACAGGGAAGTTCAGGAGACTGACCCCCCAGTCACCTCTCAGCCGCACGGCCCCGGCAGTCGCCCTACCCTTCCACCTTTCAGGAGCTGCCTGTGCTGGCCCTCGGGTCACGTTCAAGGTCCTTTAGTTGTATTAGGAGCCCTTGGGAGGGGTGGGCTGCTCTCCCTTGCCCGGGATTGGAGGCTCACCGGTACTGATAGTCAGATATTTTTATTATGTATTTAATAGTGTTTCCTAATTTTTGTTACAATTAATTCTTTGACCCACGGGCTATTTACAAGTGTATTGCAAAATTTCAAAATAGTTTCAGATTTTTAAAATTCTCTTTTGTTATTGCTTTCTCGTATGATTTCATGCTGAGTGCTTTCAGCCCTTTGATATCTGTTGAGACTTGATTTCACCTAGGATATAAATAATTTTGACGGGTGTCCCATATGCACTTCAAAGAATGTGCAGTGTCGGGCTTCCCTGGTGGTGCAGTGGTTGAGAGTCCGCCTGCCGATGCAGGGGACGCGGGTTCGTGCCCCGGTCCGGGAAGAGCCCACATGCCGCGGAGCAGCTGGGCCCGTGAGCCATGGCCGCTGAGCCTGGGCGTCCGGAGCCTGTGCTCCGCAACGGGAGAGGCCACAGCAGTGAGAGGCCCGCGTACCGCAAAAAAAAAAAAAAAAAGAATGTGGAGTGTCACTTTCCTTAGTTCAGTGTCTACGTATTTCAACTAGGCTGTATTTGTTCATTAGGGATTCTCATCCTCTGTGTCATTGATGATGTTTTTGTCTGTTTATCATCTCAGATACTGAGGGAAATGCATTCGTCTCGCAGCGTGATGGTGGCTTTGTGTGTTTCTCCTTTAAGTGTGTCATTACTTGCTTTATATATTTAATTCTATATTATCGGATACAAACAGATTTAGATTTTTTACAATTTCCTGATGATGACCCTTTTCTCATTATGAAATGTCCTATATCTCTGGAATTTTTCCTTACCTTCAAGAATTACATCAGGTATCTACACTGTATATTCTTTTATCCATTTCTTTCAACTCTTTTTAGCCCTGTGCTGTAATGTGTCTCTTCTGTGTCGCATATACTTTTTTTCTTTTTTTTTAAATTCAAAGTAATGATCTTAGTATTTTAATTGGATTATTTAGTCTAGTTGCTTTTTTTTTTTTTTTTTTTTTTTGTACGCGGGGCTCTCGCTGTCGTGGCCTCTCCCGTTGCGGAGCACAGGCTCTAGACGCGCAGGCTCAGCGGCCATGGCTCACGGGCCCAGCCGCTCCGCGGCATGTGGGATCTTCCCGGACCGGGGCACGAACCCACATCCCCTGCATCGGCAGGCAGACTCTCAACCACTGCGCCACCAGGGAAGCCCTAGTCTAGTTGCTTTTAACATAATCACTGGTATATCAGAGATTATATCTGCCATCTTAGTATTTGCTTTCTATTCAACACTCTAGTTTTTGTTTTTAATAATTAAAATTTTTGTTTTGAGATACTTATATTCATATGCAGTTGTAGAAATAATAGAGAGAGATTACATTTTTTTTTGCCCATTTTCCCAAATGGTAACATCTTGCAAAATTATGGTACAACACCCCATTTAGGAAACTGACATTGACAAAATCCACCACTCATTCATGCAGATTTCACATGCCTGAGTGTGTAACAGTGTGTGTGTGTGTGTCTGTGTGTCTGTGTGTCTGTATGTTTAGTTCTATAGAATTATATCACATGCTCATGTTCTCATATCCACCAACCCAAGCACAAGGTGGAAGAGTTCCATCACCACAAGAACCCTCCTGTTGCCTTCATGCCAGCATCCTTCTTCCCCATCACATGACAACTCACTACTCTGTTCTTCACCTCTAATTATCTTGTCATTTTAAGAACATTATATAAATGGAATCCTACATTATGTAACTGTATTGGATTGAATTTTCTCACTCGGCACAATTCTTCGGTAATTCCTCCTAGTAGTTGCATTTTTCAGTTGTTTATCCCTTTTTATTTCCGATAGTATTCTGATAGTATGGATGTATCACATTTTAAAAATTCATCCCTTAAAGGACATCTGGGTTGTTCCAGTTAATGCTAAATAAGGATGCAGTGAACGTTTGTGTGGGTTATTGTGGGAGTGTGCATTTTCATTTCAAGACCTCGAGTACTTGGTTGTGTGGTAACTGCATGTTTAGTTTATTGAGAAACAGACACATTGTTGTGTAGGTGGCTGTACAGTTTTACATTCCCACCAGCAGGATATGAGCCATCCAGTTTCTCTACATCTTTGCCAGAATTGGGAGTTGTTGCTGTCTTTTACTTTACCGTTCTTACAGGTATAAGATATAGGTATGACATATCACTGTGACCTGAATTTGCATATCCTAGTGATGTTCAGCATCTTGTCATGTGCTTATTTATCACATGAAATCCTCTTTGGTGAAATGTCTCTTTGTCTTTCGACCATTTTGTAATCGGCTTTGCTTATATATTTTTATTTATTTTTTTACTGCTGAGATTTGAGAGTTTTATATATATTCAAGAAAAAAGTCCTTTGTCTCAAGACACTAGTTTTGGTATTCTATTTTAACTTTTTTCTTACTTTCTGAAATAATTAAACATTTTTATTTTTTAATATTCCCTCTATTATATTGTTATATATGCATTCTTTTGTTTTGTTTTAGTTATTGCCTAAACGTTACACCATATGTCTTCGTCCTTCCAGGCTGCTATAACAAAATCCAGCAGATAATAACAGCAACAAACAACAGAAATTTGTCTCTCGCAGTTCTGGGTGCGGAAGTCCTAGATTAAGGCACCCAGATCATGTTCTAGTCCTTTGATGAGGCCCCCCCACCCCTTCTTGGTTCATACCTGGTGTCTTCTCACTCTGTTCTCACTTGGTGGAAGGGTCAGGGATCTCTCTGGAAGCTCTTTTATAAATCACTAACCCCATTTCATGAGGACTCGCCCCCCATGGCTCTAGCATCTCCCCAAAGCCCCACCTCTCAATACCATCTCGTTGCTCACTAGGATTTCGAAACGTGAATAGGAGGTGGGGCACCAACACTCAGACCATAGCGCCATCCATACATGATTTATTAGTGTTTAATGCAATTTATTAATTTTGCCTCTTTCAGAAAATTCTAGAAACTTAGAACACTTTAGCTAATTCCTTTATTTCTTTCTTGTCTTTGGGCATATAGATAGATAGATAGATAGATTTGAATTATATATGTAGCTTAAAATCTTATTATTTTCAGCTATTATTCGTATCCTAACTTTAATCTTTCTGTTTCTCTTTATTTTTTTTCTTTTGTTTCTATTTTTCTTCTGCTTTAAGAACTCTTGAAATATTTCTGTTAGTGGTATTTTTAATGTGTATACTTGTTTTCTTTTGTTTTGTTTTTACTTTAAAAAGTTTATGGAGTTACATGATTTAAAAATGGTTAGCAAAGCAATTTATGAGGAAAAGGAAACTGTGTGGATCCAGATTCTTACATGTCTACTTTCATGGCACCTCAACACATCAACCGCTTTTAGCAACTGAATTAATTTCACTCCGTAAATACGACAGTAATAAGCAGTTATAAACACAGCACTGTTCTGAGTGGATTGCACAGCACTCCAGCTTGTTCCCGCATTCACTCAGTAAGTACTGATTTAATGTCTCCGTAGGAGGTGTTGTGTTTGCTTTTTTCTGTGAAGGAGCTCACAGTCCAGTGGCAGCTGAAGCAGGGGATGAAAAAGAAAAGATAAATGATTGGCCCAAGATGACAGATATACAAAATTGTGGAGCTTGGTTCGAAACCTAGGATATCATGTGCTGGCTGGTTTGGCCACGTCCCATAATCTTAACTCTGATGATGTGATGCGTCTCGTATTTAATGGCAGGAAAGTTGTGTTACTGTCATATACTATTATGTAGCCTGAATTAGAACATCACACTATTTTATCAGTGGTGAGACAGTGTATGTTCATCGTATAGTAATGATTTAGAAGTACATGTCTCATTTCAGTTTTGAA